AAGTAAAGCTGCCTTTTGCAATTGACTGATAGTGATTTTGTCAATGCTGATGGTATTCAAGTGGTGCTCCAGATGTTTTGGGATTGCACCTAAGCCGCCTATTACTCTTGGGACTACCTTTGCTTTCTTTTGCCACAGTCGCTCTACTTCTATTTGCAGGTCTTTATCTTGTGTGATTTTCTCCATATTAGTAGTAGTAATAGACACACACATACACACACACCCACACACATATACACACATGCATATTTTAATTTTTGACTGAAAAAATGTTAGAAAATCGCAATTCTGTTTTTTGGTGCTCGCCAGCACAATTCAGTAGCATTTGGGGGTTCTTCAGGCAGCAAAATAGGAGTTCATTGCCTCACAGAATCCTAAGACTGAACTGCCTGTCGTTAAGTAGTCTGTAAGATCTATCAGCATGTGGAGTAGGGGCAGGATCCTGTATTCCAACTTAGGACACTCAATGATTGCTATGCTCATTCAGATAGCTATCTTTCTTAGAAAGATTAATGTATCCAAGTTGTTTCTTGTTTTGTTTTAGACATGTTAAAAATTACAAATTTAAGAATCAGATTTGCCAAGCTGCACACACTGGGAGACAACCTTCTTGATTCAAGAATGGAAATCAGAGAAAAATACTACTATGCCATTTATGACATGGTAGTCCGTGGGAACTGCTTCTGTTACGGGCACGCCAGTGAATGCGCGCCAGTGCACGGATATGAGGAGGAGGTAGAAGGAATGGTAAATGTCTACGTTGCTTTCCTGCTGTCACTTCGTTGTGATTCTGCCGCTGCTGTTGAAAGGCATTGCCCTTGATGGACAACAGAAAAAAAACTAGATTTCATCTAAAATGAAATCTGGTTATTGTAATTTATTAGAAAACTTTATCTGCAGTCGAAGACCAGCTGCCAGTATTTGTTACACGGAGCAAGAAGGCACAATGGAAGGACGAACCATAAATGCACAGGCAACACACTGAATTATCTGATCCCTGGTGTAGTTTAAACACATACACACAGGCATTATATATATATATATATATATGATTTTTAGCTCCTGAATAGCAGTGGCTATTTAAAAAGTGTAACGGCCTTCCTAGAGTTGTTTGAAGACAAGATGGCTAAGAGGAGAACTTTCTCTTAATCTGGTCGGCCAAGGCTACTAAGCAGCAAGGGAGTTATTTAGCCTATGTGTAAATGTAGAGAGACTGTGTAAATGTACAGAGCCATACACAATAGGCTCTGTGTCCCCCATTGGGCAGGGTCTTAATCAGTCCTATATCTCTCCTTTCCACTAGCACAGATGGTGGGTGGGTGTATGTGTGTATGTATTATGTATATTAAATATTGTAGGTCAACAGAAATGAGGTGGAAGTAGATGTATTTATAATCTCATCAAGAATAACAGATTGCATCTCATGGTTTTTGAGGTTTAGTACAAACACAGCTCCCTCTTTCAGTGTAAAACCTGGAGAGCGTAAAACTGTAACTGCTTATTCAGTATAATTGGGGCAGATTCTGGATTCAGAGAGCCGACTGTATCTCAGTTTTACTCTGTCTTGGCCATACGGTACACAGTTCCTTTCTAAGAATGGGTGTTTCATGGTGGTTCGGTGGCTCTGATTGGTCGACAAACCGTCATCACCATTCCATTCCTAGAGAGACCAGTCGCATCCCCTGTTCCATTGCCACCTGTCCTCTGGGATGGAGAAAAGACCTACCAAATTTTTAAGCATTCTTCCTTTGGACTTTCCAAAGCAACTGCTTCCATATGTCCGTGTTTCCCAACCTCAGCAACTTTATGAAGTGTAGACTTCAACTCCCAGAATTCCCCAGCCATCTGGCTGGGGAATTCTGGGAGTTGAAGTCCACACATCTTAAAGTTGCTGAGGTTGGGAAACACGGACATGTGGGAATGTTTTGTTTGTGTTCCTTGTTTGCAAAGGGGAGGAAATTGCTTGTCTTTCTAAACATGTTCAATTGCTATGAATTTGTACTCTGCTGTCTCTTTGTGTGAAAGGTCCACGGGCATTGCATGTGTCGGCACAACACCAAAGGTTTAAACTGCGAGCAGTGTTTGGATTTTTACCACGATTTGCCATGGCGTCCCGCCGAAGGTCGCCACAGCAACGCCTGCAAAAGTAAGTGTCCCTGTATTAAGCGCTGCTTGTGAAGTCCACAGCGTTGCAGGGTGATCTTTGCTGGAGGCGTTTTGTCCTTTGACACACAGCCCAAAGGGTGCAAATTAATTTGGCTAAAAATGTTCTGTCGTGAGCCCTCTGTTTTTGAAGTACAGAAAGTGGAATTGCCAAACTTTGGCAAATCAAAGATTAGAATTCAAAATTACTGGAGGGCTCCTTGTTGCTTTGCAAAACAGAGCTTTGCCCTAATATTTGAGAAGAGGGTCCTCTCTTTCCCCCTGCCCTGGTGTTACACTAGAAGGTGCTTTTTAATTTAAGACAGGTTTGTATTATCCGTAAAGAGATTGGAGGCTATCAGTCAACTGGGCTGTTTAAGGCTAGGCTATCGCTTGAATTTTTTCTTATTCTCCTAGAGTGCAATTGCAACGAACATTCGGCACAGTGCCATTTTGATATGGCTGTTTACATAGCAACTGGAAATAGCAGCGGTGGAGTGTGTGATGATTGTCAGCATAACACTGTGGGGCATAATTGTGAGCAGTGTAAGCCCTTCTACTTCCAACACCCAGAGAGAGATATCCGCGATCCCAACATTTGTGAACGTAAGTGCATCAGCTTTTCCTCGGGAAATAGTTTGCTAACTCTTACCGGTCTCAGCTGGTTAACGGTGTACCTCTGGTCAGGCCCTCTCCTTCCACCAATTCTGTGTCTACATGAGTCAGCTTAAAATCTACAAATGGAACATTTCATAGAATTATTCCATGTTTCAGAAACAGAATATATTTATTCTCCATATGTGCTGCAGTGCAATTCCCATAATTTCCAGCATATCCTTTGGCTGTATACATGTATGTGTTGATACAATTTCTGATTTCCTTACTTTCACCTTAAAAATTATCCCAGTGCGATCTCTATATAGAATACTTTTAAAATCCAGTAGAGCATGCTCACTGTGGTCAATGACCAAGATGGAAAGCAGCCTTTCAACTAACAAATGTAGGCCTAATTATGCAAAAGGTATAATGGGGGAAAAAATCATAGAATCAGAATTATGGAGTTGGAAGGGATCACAAGGATCATCTGGTCAAGCCTTCTGCAATGTGCAGGACAACCAGTTGAACCAACCTCAAAAGTGGACCTTCAGTCTCTTCTTAGAAACCTTCAGAGGTGGAGAACCCACAGCCTCTGCCTACATTAATCTTCACCTGGCATCAGTATCTAGCTAATGGCCACACCAACTCAGCCTACAGAGAAAGGATACTCCATAACTCAAGTGCCACTATTAAAGCAATCAATACCGTTGTGGCTGCAGTTTGCAAACCATATTCAAGAGTACTCAACATGTGGTGCATTGAATAGTCAAACTGGATGGAAAGGCAAAGCTGTGAAAAAGGAGAATCAGGCATTGCAACCTGTTACATCAGAAAGACCGTAATTGTCCATCTGCTCCTTTAGAAGAAATGTAACATCACCTGAGCAAAACATCACTTTAATACCTAAATCCAGAAACCATGAACCTGGACTTCCTTCTTGTTGGGATGCCCTTATTTTTCCTTAGCCAACTCATGATTGCCTGCAATCATTGAACAAACACCAGCCCACTTCACCTGATTCTGATGGGAAAGAGACGAAACATCATGAGGAGGTTGATAGCTGAGCCCCCGGCTTTCCTGCCACCAGTGGCAGGAGAGAGACGCTATCGAAGCATTTTAAGTTCTTGAAAAGGGCTAGTTTTTTGGTAGTGGAACCAACACCTTTGGACCGTAAGAGATTCAGATCGCTGAACAGTGCAAGTAATGATTTATTTGGCTATGTGCGTTTGTACAGCTGTATTGATGCATGAGAAAATGTGTTTGTTCATTTAGCATGTAACTGTGACCCAGTTGGCTCCCAGAATGATGGAGTCTGTGATCGTTACACTGACTACTCTACTGGCCTCATTGCTGGACAGTGCCGTTGTAAATTATTTGTCGAAGGGGAACGTTGTGATTTCTGCAAAGAAGGATTTTATGGATTAAGCTCAGACAATCCTCTTGGCTGTCAGTGTAAGTATAGCATGATATTTAGCTAACTTCTGAAAAATGAATTCTATTGATTAGGGGCCTATGAATCATTTCTTTTTAAAAGCCTGGAGTCCCTGCCATGATGCTATTTAATTTTGCTGCTATAAAGATACAAACTTAAATTGGATTGTGTAGTTTGAAAGATGGTTAAGACAGGGTGTGTTTCTTTCGTGAATATGCAGTTGTGCATATTTTAGAGTGAAATTGTTCAATTCATTTGTTTCTGAAGTAGCAATACCTCTAATTCTATTCCTTGTGGAGATACTGTGAATACTGTGAAAATGCCTATACTTAGTTGTGCTAAACTTTCCAGTACACCATTCAGTTGTTCAACCGCATATATTTCTGATTGTCAGACTAGTGTAGTTTGAACGCACTTTGGATGCCCTTCCTTCTGTCTTTGGTGCTTTTATTTAAGCTTGGAGAGATTTCACTGATTGTGCATTACTACTGGTTGTAATTGTTGTATTGTTTATTGCAACCTCGCCCTGCAGTTAAATACACATAAGCAAAAATAAGCCAAACCAAGGAACTGGGATCGCAAAGGAAAGGAGGGGGAAGCAATTTGTCATTAAGTCTCCAGTGAAAAATGAGTGATAGGTGTTGAGATAAGTATTTGTCAGAAGTACTGTGCAAACAATAATCAAAACACATCAATCCTGATTTATTTACTTGCTCTTCCTAATACAGCTTGTGCATGCAATCCTTTGGGCACGCATTCCGGAGGGAATCCTTGTGACTCTGAGACAGGAAACTGTTACTGTAAACGTCTCGTTACAGGAAGGCACTGTGATCAGTGTCTGGTAAGTTGCCTTGCTTATAATAACATTTACGCCAAAAAAAGGAAAAGAAAGAAACCTTTTAGTAACATCTGATTAACTTTATTTCAAAGGTCCAAACAATTAATCTTCATGGCATGCCACAGAAGTTGCAGATAGTATATTCTGGGACAGTTCTCCTAATCTTGCTATCTTCCAGATGGGGACTACAGTTCCCAGAAATCCCAGCCAGGGTCATCTTTGGGTACAGGTAGTTCTCACTTAATGACCACAATTGGGACCGGAATTTAGGTCGCTAAGCAATGTGGTTGTTAAATGAAACATCGCGTGACTGGACCCAATTTTATGACCTTTTGTGAGGAGGTCATTAAGCAAATCACCGTGGTAGTTAAGTGAATCACATGGTTCCCCATTGATTTTGCTTGCCAGAAGCTGGCTGGGAAGGTCACAAATGGTAATCACATGACCCTGGGACACTGCAACTGTCATAAGTGTGAGCTGGTTGTCAAGCACCGGGATATTGCCCCTTTCTCACATTGACTAATCTCTTCCTGGTTATTTCTTTTTTTTTAATTAATTACACTTTTATCCCATCCTTTTTTCAAAGAGTTTAAGGTAACATACATAATTCTCCCCATGGACTTTTATCTTCATGACTCTCTTATCTGTTAGAAATAGCAAATGACTCAAAGTCATCCAGTAAGATTTCTGGATCACTAGGAATCTGAATCTGGCTTTTGTTAGGCCTAATCCCAAGATTTTATCTAGATAATCCCTGCATAAAGAAAATATTAATTCTTTTTTTCCCCATGTAAGTTATCAGTATCCTAAAAGGTTCATAGGACATAATTTTTCTATTTCCTGTTTTATCTTAGGAGTGGGTTGTAGCTAGTGCATTAATACAAGTGGTCCTCGCTTAACAACCACTCGTTCAGTGACTGTTTAAACTTACAGTGGTGCTGAACGAACGGTAGTTACGACCAGCCCTCATACTTAATGTCAGTTTCAGCATCCCCGTGGTCACGTGATCACCATTTGCAACCTTCTTTGCCAGCTTCCTACAAGCAGACTCAATGGGGAAGCCGGCAGGAGGTCACAAATGGCAACCACATGATGTTGTGTTTAACAGTGGCACAGGATTTGCTTAACGACAGCAACCGGAAGTGCCAGAACTGCTTTTGCTAAGGAGTGCGGTCACTGCTTAGCAATGGAAATTCTGGTCCCAGTTACCATTGTTAAGTGAGGACTACCTGTACGGTACTGATAGAACCATGGGAGGACAGCAGTTGTAGAGGAAAGTGATTGTTCTTTATGCCTGAGAATAATAAAAGCAAATCAAAGAGTGATGGCTTTGCTATTAATACTGAACATTTGTCCTGACCTTTTTGTTCTGCCTCCGATGCCTGCTTGTGACTCAAAGCATGTTGTTGCACCAGTAATGTCCTGAACCTTCCCTTGCAGCCTGAACACTGGGGACTGAGCAATGATATGGATGGGTGTCGACCTTGTGATTGTGACCAAGGAGGTTCACTCAACAATAAGTAAGTCAAATTCCTGCTGTCACGCCTATGAGCTTTGTAAATGCATCTTTTTAGCTGGCTAATAGTTCAGAAGCAAACAGCACTCTAGAATTTTCCAGAATGTTCTATTCCCAGATTGATAAATTTTGCAAACCTCTAAATTAAAGACAGGATGTAAGAGAACAGGAAAAGAAATCTAACTAAATCTAGTTGATACCAACACATTCACTATACTTCTCCAAACCTTGCAAATTATCCTTGTAATGTTATGTCCATACATTGATTCATACACTGCCTTTTATTATTTAAACTTCTCACCTCTTTCTTTCTGAGAATCTCAACTCCATCCAACATTGACTTTCCCGGCCTTCCCCTTTCCTCTTGGTCCATTCACTCTTCCTTCCTACATAAATTTGGATTTCAGTTCCCATCATCTTCAGCCAGCATGGTCGTTAGCTTTTTGCTTGAGTAGACTAGAAATCCATCTCGCTGGATTTCGCTTCCAAGAATGACCAACTGGGGGAAGCCACCAAGCAGCAGCCTTCACTTGCAGTATGTAGGTGTATCATGCTCTAGTTCTTTTCTTAATTGGCTCAGCTACTTTGTTTATACTTAATAATTTATTAAATTTATATGCCGCCTGGCTCCCAGTGATTCTGGGCAGTTGAGATAACTATTACACAATCTGATTACTTTGGCAAAGCTCTTTGCTGCATTTTAGATTTACTGTCCCAGGAAATTAAGATGTAACATGTTTGATCCAGCTCATATTTTTATTCTGATCATTTTTCATGAGTTGTTTCTCACGCAGGCAGTAGCTATTCTCAGTAGTCCTGTTAAAATTATACGGTGGAACCACGAAGCTGCCTAACCTTTGAACATACTGATGCATTGATTGCAAAAACATCTGTAAATGGGTGTCATTCGCTAAAAGAACTTGACCTAACGTGCATTTCCATTTCCTTTTCTGCTCTCCCAAGAAAATGATCTCATTCATCCGGACTTAAGATGAAGAACTTCAGTTCATATGCCTATTTTTACAACCTTACTTTCTAATTAGGCAACAACTGTCTGAAAGGATGAATGTTCCTAACGGAAACTCCTTCCCATATAAACCATGCTGGGTTCAGACAGCACCCGAGCTGCACAGCTGCGCTGAAAAGCTAAGTTGTGGTTTTGAATGAAGGAAAACAACCATAAGAAGGATGGAGTCATTGTGCCAAGTAAAGGAAACATCTAATTTTGACAAAATCTATCTGGGATGGATACAATAATTTCACAAGAATGTTTCTCCCTGCTTCCATGGGATATTTTTCACCCCAGAGTTTTGAACTGGATGTTATGCAAGTCACTTACTTGATCTGAACCTAAGCATCTGTGTTGGGGTGTCTGCCTATGAAGCAATAGTTAAATGTACAATTCATGATGGATGTGTGGCTTCGTTCGTTGATAGATCAGTGAAACTTGTTCTAAACTTTTCTTTAATTATGCAGAGAGGTGTATGCTTGAGTTATAGACTCTTGTCATTGTCTACTCTTAGATGACTTGATTTTTTTTTTTTCGGTGTATAATAGAAAGAGGCATATAACATTTCCTGAAGATGTGCAATAGAAACTCACTCTGTTTTTCAGCTGCTCAAGTGAATCTGGTCAGTGCCAGTGCAGGCCTCATCTGATTGGCCGCCAGTGCCATGAAGTGGAACCTGGATATTTTTTCATATCTTTAGATCATTATGTCTATGAAGCAGAAGATGCCAACTTTGGCCCTGTGAGTACCTATAGCTAGCAACCAAAATACATCAAAATCACTACGATGAGTCCTTTTAGTTCCAGTTTTCAGTTTTGTTTCTGCCCTGCTAGCCTTACCCCCCTCCACATCAGAAACATCAAAAATAATAAGAATTATTGAAATGGCTGGCTTAGGAAAGATACTACAAAAAAATTAAAAGAAAATAAAACCAGAGGTCCGGTAAAGAGTTGGTCACTAAAATTTAATGATGTCACGCAACAGTATTTATAGGCTATGAAGAGAATGGTGCGATTTTCTATGAAATTTAGGATATAATTTAAAAATTCTGAATGCCTGCATATAGATTAAATCATTTTTTTTCCTTTGAATGTGTTATATCTGAGTTTGTAGAAATCAGTGCTAAACTAAAACACTGAAGTTTGTGGAGTTCACATGCCTTGAATTACTGTATTCTCACACACAATTAGACAATCAGCTGCTTTTATAATCTTAGTTGGGGAGGACAGAAAGAAAGAGAGAGGTCAAGCAGTGAAAATCACAGAGAAAATAGCTATAGAGATAGTTATACATAGCATAAAATAACAAATATATAAATTTTATTTATTTATTTATTTATTTATTAAAACCAAAATGGAAAATGGATTTTTAGGGCCTGTTGTTAATAGTAATCTATATTAAGTGTTAAATTAACAGTTAAAATAATGGTGAGTGAGGTGAACCTTCAAAGACTTTCTAAGTGCTGTTGGGTGTAGGTGTGCTAAATACAGCTTGACAGTGTGTTTCAAATGCAAAATGATCACATTAGGACGTTTATTCCATTGATTAATTGTTCAGGTAATAGAAAAGCTGAGTCTGCTCTTCAGATATTATATACAGATACATATGTAAATTTATATATAGTCTTCATCATTCTGGGAACATTTGATTTCTCTCATTTCTTCTATTTCTAATTAATACATTGATTGAGAAACGTATTTGACATTTTGGTCTACTTTACAATAAAGTTATAGGTACAATATTATTTCATTTCAAATCTCACCTGAAATAGTTTGTCCAAGTGTAGGAAAACATACAAAGACCATTTGTCAAGTAATAGATACAAACAACGCATGCATGTGAACTGGATCAGTCCCTAGTCACCGTTTGTAAGTATCTATGAATAAGAGTGTGAATGTGAGATCTGGGATTTAAAGTCCCAACACATCTGGAGAAGGCTTCTGGAATACTGTCCTCATAGTATTTCTTTGTCTATATTTTCCTTGGAACATGCGTGGGACATCTTAAAATAGCCGAATCATTTGTTTCTCTTCTGAAGGGCGTGAGTTTAGTTGAGCGCCTGTATTCTCAAGATCGTGTACCTTCGTGGACTGGAATAGGATTTGTGAGAGTTCCTGAAGGAGCATATTTGGAATTCTACATTGACAATATTCCATTCTCTATGGAATATGATGTTCTGATTCGATATGAGCCACAGGTAAATGGCTGCTTATAGAACCATGCTGTTTCTGAATGAGGAATACTGATGTTTTAAAGAAGTTTAAAATCTGCTGATCTAAACATCTAGGCATCTAGTGGTCTGAACAGATATGTGCTTTTTATAGCAAGGGCAGTTTGACGATGTGTGTGATGATTCTCACAGTTGTCCCATTGCCTTCAATTATGCTTACTCCAAAGCAAGGGTGCATAGGAATTCTTCATTGTTCGTATAGTCCTAATTTCTCCATTAGACAACATTGATTGATATCCACATGGTGTTGTCAAGTCCACAAAGTCCAAACCCCAATTCAGAATTCTCATGAAACCAGACCCGGTTCAGATAAATGCTCCTTTATTAGGTGGTACATGCAGCTTGAAACAAAGCATTGCTA